TTAGTTAAATAATTATAACTTAGCACCAACTTGCATTCGACAATAAAGTGAAAAAAATCTATGAAATAAATTATCTTTGATATAAGAGCTAGCTACGAAATTTAATTTTCATTGTTAATTAGTAACAATTAGGCTAAGTTTAGTTAAATGTCAGAAACAAAAAACAGATATATTACATATTAAAAAAACATAGAAATTACATTAAATTAAAAATAACAGTTCCTATTAATAAAAACTTTTAATAAATCGAAGTAACATAATCTTCCACATCGACTGCAATACAAAGATGTATACAGTGTATGAACCAGCGCACTTTTGGTCAAGCACAGTTTTAGTTGTGTATATAATTATTTTTGTGAAACATTATTTTAATATCCTATAAATTTGTGTACCATCGCAAGAAAATTTTATATTAAATAGCATCACTTTGTAGAACTCATTATATTGAAGACAAGAAAATTAATGAATACATTTCGATATCAAAGTAGAAAATATTTAAATGTTAAAAGATTGAAATGCATTCCTATATCAAAGAATTTAGAATATTAAAGAAAGCTAATTATATGTTTTTGATTAACGGGATATAATAAAGACATGTAAAGTTTTACATGTATTAGCACCTATGTTTGTAAATAGACTCCATAACGAGTTTCTGGATAAAGAGTTAATTATTTTAGTTAATTAGTTAGTGGAGAATAGGAACATGCTGTTATATAACAATGTGATGCTTTTGGCAGCACCAGCATATTTGTCCATTAGGCTGACTAAACACGTAAATAATAATGATTTAATCTGTTTGCACTGCCGAAAAATTGTGATAATTGTAGAGACATTCAGATGAAGTCTAGATAAAAAAACTTGTGAATTTTCGCGAGTAATCGTGAAAAAAATCTCGCATTTTAGTTTGCCATATTGTGAAAACATTGCGTATACGTTCTGCGCCGTGCTTCGTCAAGTGTGCGCCGGCTCTATGGTATGCCTAGCTGCGATTCTTACATAACAGTACATGAAGTTGCCAGAATCAATACTGATCATATTAAAATTATTCTAACAAATAAGAATAAACATATAGGAATATATAAAAATAATGTTAATACTTCGATCGGCATTCAATACGAATGTAACGAATGAAAATAAATAAATATAATTAGTGGTGGAAGTTGTGTGTGATGGTTTGCGAGTGCAGCCTGAGCGCGCGGCGCTCGTCACGCGGGGGACAGACACCCGACTCGACGCCCGCTACTCACTTTGCCCTCATCGTCTGCACACATACGTTCCTATTTTAACGCCCGTCAAAACTCCACTACAAAACATAGCCTTACTCCATAGACTACTTCATAGCACGCTTGGCAGGTGGACTTGCGAGCGCAGTTTTTTTGGAACCAAGTTCCTTATCGCACGGTACGGACTTGGCGGATGGGGGCTAGGCAAAAAAGTATAAGTTTTCCGTTACGACCTTGGGGGCTATGCAACGCGAGATGGAATAATATCCCTCTCCCTCGTATGTTTTCTTACGTTGCCATGAAATAAATATTATTTTAAATGATGCTAATACGTTTATCAATAATAATATACTACGGAAGAAACTTCGTTCCAACCGAGTGTTCCACGACACTCACGCATGTTTTTTATTTATTATTGCGCTTATAATTTCTTTAATAAAATCATCATTATATTTTTATTAAACATAAAAATAAAAATAAAAAGCCAGATGGAGTAAAATAAAACCATGGTTCAAGTGAAACTTTCGGTTATGAGCTTTTGTTTTCGTTTATAAATAAATAAGAAAGTCTGTAAACGCAGGCGTTTTTTAAAATTTCCTATCATTAAAAATTAATAAACACAATAGTTAGTTAATATTATGAATCATTCATAATAATATAAAATTGGGTGTAATGCATGCTTAACTAAACGAAACAGGTTATTTTCAGATTAACTATAAAATTATTAAAGGGCTCTTTCATAATAATCATCACATCATTACAGCCCTTCACAAGTCCACTGCTGAACATAGGCCTCCCACAAGGAATGCCACAAAACACGATCCCGAGCCACCTGTATCCATCGACTTCCTGCATGTTTTACCAGGTAGTCACTACATCTAGTGGGACGTCTCCCTACACTCAGCCTGCCGGTAGAAGGCCGCCACTCGAGAACCTTTCTTCCCCATCGGTTGTCGGTTCGAGTTATATGGCCAACCCATTGCTAGTTCCATTCTGTCTCAGCACACGCTTTTCTTTTGCATCAGCCCAGGTTACAACAGACTGCTAGACATGACCGGCTGCGGTTTGTTGATTGTAATAACATATAAAAAGCTGCTCAGTCCATGAGGAATTTCAAGATCTATGCTGAGTTAATTATCCACTTACAACTCCTTATTAAATATATAAAAATGATATCTCAGATAAACGCTTCACGAATGTATGCTGAACGAAAATGTATGGCATTGGACATTATGCATTTTTCATTGTTATAAATCACCCCACATATGTAAAATAATAAAAAAAAATCGCTGGCTGAAACTTTCAAAACATGAAAAAAGTGTAAAAAATTGATGTTTCAAACCCAAAACCACCAAAAAGCTATAAAAACCAAAGAAGTTCGTGTTAAAATTGTTATTGAAAAACAAACACCAAGTGCTGAAATGTATAGCATACATAAATCACACCACAGTGCAAGAAAGAAGTAATAAAAAAATGTTTACCAAAATATAAACATTGGATATTTATGAAGTCTGCCCGAAAACAAACTAAAAAAATACAAAATCAATATTTTTTTACAAATATTATGGTTTCGTACAGCTCGTTACACTTTATTCCTAAATTATAATGATATTTATTGGGATTGAGAGTGAAAAAAAATCATATTCAATGTCCCTACCATAAATATAATATGAAAATTCACGCCTGCCATTCACAGAGGTAGGCAGAGAGTACGGATTTAATTTGGCATGATCCTGACACACCTCCTTCACGTCCATATACCTACGCATACACGCTTACTTCAAGGGTACTTTTAATTTGGCACATATTCAATCTATCACCAATGTGGTCGATAAACTTTCTTCTAGGGCGTCCTTTGCCGACTGTGCCATTCACTTCTGCATCATAAATTTGCTTTGTCACTCTTTTCTCATTGATTTTTTCTAAATGAGCGAACGACTAAAGCATTCCATCTCCTAATCCTGGTTACAACATCTTGTAAATCACTCTTTTATCTTATCAGGCAATTTCTCACCCTGCCTGAATGTCAATCCCAACATACTTCTTCATGACTGCATTGCTACGTCATTAATTTTTACCCTCGTGCTTCTTCTGCCATACTCTCCTTTTTCTACCATACCTCACTTTTTGACACATTCTGACTATATAACAGGGTTATTTTTCAAAGAGTAGCCAAATTTTAAACATAAGTTCAAATATATAAATAATTATATTTTGTTATTGCAGGTTTTGAAAATACGAGTAAATAAGGTTTCTACTTTTATTTAAAATCGTCCCAAATTGAATATGATTGATGGACGACAACGTTTTTGCATACCGTGAGCAGTAAAATCAGTTAAAATAATGCATTACCACTCATTTTGAATTTAAAAGATAAAAAGGACAGAATCTTTGTGATTTTTTAAATAAATTTTTCTTCACCTTTTGACTATATTACTTATTCTGAATCTTCTCTGCAAATTTAGCCGGTTATAGCAAAATAACTTTGTATATGATTGATGTGTAATTTGTTATGTTTAATTATATGTAATTAATCTGCTTCAAAGTGCTATGCTCATTTCTAAAACTCATAACAAGTGGGATACGGGAAGTAGACTGTGTAAAAACCTCCGAAGGTGGCGGAGTTATAACCGAAATAAGAATTTTTAATTTTTTTGGTTTTTGGCCACACCCCCTAGGAGTGTAATGAGAACTTTTTCAACCATGACCCCCATTATATCCTCTACATGATAGGTTATTCTAACCGACTGTTCCTAAAGTTCGACCCACCCCTAACTTTTTTGATTTTTGGCTATTTTACCCTCTAGGAGTGTAAGGAAAACTTTTTGCCCCTATTCAACCATGACCCCCATGACATCCTCTACATGAAAGGTTATTCAAACTGACTAGGCCTAAAGTTCGAGTCACCCCCTAACTCATTTCTAGTCTTTACTTCCAATTATGTAATTTACATACACGAAGTGGCAACTACAATAGTGGTATCTTATCTTCGATGACTTGGCATATGTGCGTTAAGTTTGCTTAAAATCGGACAGGGTTTTCATTGTTGCCAACAATCCTTATTTTTTTTCTTTTTTAAAAAACGTAACCCCCCACTAGGATTTTCTCCTGTGTCGTGGAGGCAGTTTACAAACATAAATTGCACAAGGACAAACATCCAGACCCGGAACAATTATTTGTAGGCCATACAAATACTTGTTCCGTGCGGGATTCGAACCCGCGGCCTCCAGCGCAATAACTGATTGCTAAGCCACTACGCCACGGAGCCGTCAATATTGTTCTATCAACACAAAGTTTTCTCTTCGTCGTGGAGTTACAGAGAAATATTCTGTCAAGTTTTCCAGGTTTTTAAACGGCATCAAAAATAAGGGTTATCAATTTAATTGTATTTGCTTTCTTTTATAATATATGTAGAACTATATCTCCTAAAGTTTCCGACGTTAAGTAGTCGATTTAGTTGGCCATTACTAATTCTGTTACAACGTGCGCGTTCGAGAATCGACTTCATATCCATTTTCTCGCCATACCTCATTTTACCCTGGTAAAAAGTACTCATGTTTTAATTGCAAAATCTTTTATCTGTGTGACTAATTTCATCCAAATTCGTTTGGCCGTTTATGTTTACATTGTATAACAAATGTCTAGTAGTTCGAAAAAAAAAACTACGTGTACAATACAAAATATAAAGGAGAGCTAGGTAAATGATCGTGTAACAGAGGTGTACGAGCCTGTGTCCCGGGTGGCGGTATGCCTGTAGGCGAGCATGCGGTTAGTGCGTTAGTGAGTCGGGGGCGGGGGCGGGGGCGGGGCCGCCGCGTCACCTGAGGCGTCGTCGCGCAGCGGGCACACCAGCTCGCCCAGCTCCAGCTCCTCGCGGCTCTTCTTGCGCTTCAGCGAGAACTGGCTCTTCTTTGGTACCTGCGCAACTCGCTCATATTAACCACATCCTGGTTTCGACCACGGCGACCAGGATGCCTTATAGTGACGGCGAAGCCATTACCCCACTTTATCGTGGGCGTCGGAGGGAAATGCCCGGGAGATCATGTGACCTCTAATAGATGACAGTATAACCATTTCGTATATACCAGATGGAAAAAAAGAGGCTTACGAAAGGATATAGCATGTGATACTATGCGCAATGATGTTGAATACAACGTACAGCAGTGGGCTTTTATAACCTGATAAAGGGGAGGACAACTGGAATCCGGTTTCAGTAACACTAAGACAATCATCAGCCAAGAAGATCATGTGTATAATACCGTCAGAAAACAACAACGTCAGAAGTACAATACGTCTAGTACTGAACTAGGCAGCTTGGCCGTGCTACTGCCAAGCTAAGCGCGACGATAAAGGCAATTTTTTTTGACGTGGTAAAGCCACGCTGCTATTATATTATGGTAGTAGCACGAATAGGTCGGCTCGACCGGAGAACAACCACGCTCTCATAGAATACCAGCGTAAAATGGCAGTTTAACGCTGCCGTGTTTCGTATTTTGAATGTAGAAAAAACCAAATACCCTATTGGCTGAATACGAGACATTACATCTTGGCCCTCAAGGGTGACAACACATCTATATTGTGATTCTTAATCGAAAATAAATATATTAGGCCTCAGTATTCACTTACCATCAGTGTTCCAACCATCAGTAAAGGTGACAAAAGAAACTGGTGCTCCTTTGTCACCCTTATACAAAAAATCCCAGTGGCCCATGAGAGTAAGATGTAGAAATAAAGAAATACTAAGGAAACATGTACAAGCATCTATCTAAAAGCACTGGAGTAGTCCGCCAGTCTCTTGCCTACTCTTAAAACCTCTTATGCCCAGCAGTGGCGCGTTTACGTTACTTAACAATATTTAGGCGCTCGAATGAGATTTGAGAATCTGTCTTACGATGTCACCACAAGACCTCTGCATCTCCAATCGATTTAAGTACTCACTTTGTATTTGGTAGTAGCTGTGAGAGGCTGGTAGCCGAGTGTTTGTTCAGCATTTCGTTTCTGCTGTATAACTTCCCTCCCGAGCAAATCATTGAATCTGTAATTTGTAATACAAAACATTAAAACCGAGTTCAATAATTATTGAATCTGAGTGAAATTTATACGAGACCGCTGTAAAGGTATACTCTATAAATACATGACAAACAGCATAATCGGTTATATTATCTTGGAAATAACATTGTGTTACATACAATAATCCTTTACGATGTCGGTTAAAAACCGGTGGCAACTCATTATAAAAGTCATTAACAAATTTGAGCATCAATTTATACATCGTTTTTTAATACATTAATTCATTCACATTGTTCATCCATTAATCCATTACAGTTTATTATAAGTCCACTGCTGAACACAGCGGGGATTTCCGAACAGTTGTCATGTTTGATGAGCGCGTTGCCAACGCGGTTTCTTTTAGAATATTTTTAATTGCTATTAATCACGTGTATTCGCTCAGGTACCGACAAAACAACAATGCTGCAGCAAAATTACTGTAGCTTATGCAAGTCGGGGGACCATATTACTATTACAACTCAATATTAATTGTAAAAATAAATTTTAATTTTTGTCCTGTATTGCTGTATTTATGATGCCATTTTCTTTCTTTCATTTACTACAATTGCAATGAAGTCGTGCAAAGAGCTTGAAAAGGCATTTAAAAGGAAAAATTTTAATTTGCGGATCTTTATGATGATAATGATTCAGTTATACATGATAACAGCGAAGACCGCAAAGGTGGATCTAGGAATATCTCTGTCATTAGCAGTAATAGCGAGATGATGATCATCATTATAACCATTAACTTTCACAAAGCAACAAAGCAAGCACAGCTGCATCCATCGACTTTCTTTTAAAGTCTGTCTTTTCAATTAGATCCTCTTTATTATGTTTACCTTTGTGTGAGATGCCGTCGCAATAGAGTCTTATTCGCCGGTATGTTGAGCAAAGCCGCCAAGAGTTCTGCCGTGAATCGCGGCTCCAGCAACATTAGTCCGCCGTGTACTCCTATAATGTTATAGAATAGAATATAATATTTTTATTCCATATAATTATCTATTATTACATGATACTAATGGAAAGTAATTTTTTCAAAAAACGGAAGCTACAATGTACCTTGGTACATGCACAAGTTCCACTCTCTATTGCCTTACACTCATAGTCCGATTAATTTTCAGGCAGTCAACTAACTTTTAACAGCGGTAGAGCCACGCGGCAGGTTTTGTAACACTTAAATGCAGGTGACCGGAGCCCCCCCCCCCTACCCCTCCCCAATAACATAAGATTTTTTTTATAAGAGAGGGGGCAAACTAGCATGCGGCTCACCTGATGGTAAGTGATTACCGCCGGCCATGAGCAACTGCAACACCAGCGGAATTGCTGATGCGTTTCTTGAAGGTCCCTAAGTCGTATCGGTCCGGAAAAATTGCTGGTGGTAGTCAATTCCACAAAGAAGTTATGCGAGGAAGAAAACTTCTTGTAAATGGCACAGTGGTGGACCGCCAATCATCCAGATATTATGTATGGTATCGCGAGTTTTGTCGCGATGTGTGATGGTGAAATTGAGTAACTTGAATTAGTCCGAACAATTCCCCTGAGCACTCCCCGTGGTAGACACGATAAAATATGCAAAGAGATGCAACATCTCTTCGCAGCGCCGTGAGTCTAGCCGATCAGAAAGAGTTCGGTCGCGGACGATTCGAACCGCTCTTCGCTGGATGCGATCAAGTCGAAGGAGCTGGCACTGGAGATGAGAACAGTATTCCATGTGAGGCCGAATCTGCAACTTTACGCAAGCGGTGTGCCGGTATGAAATACTGTTCCGCTCTACAAAGCACGCCAAGCTTTTTAGAGGGCAATTTGGCCTTCTTTTCCAAATAACCGCGGAACTGAATGTCATTAGATATGGCGACGCCGAGGATTCCGATGCTATTTGAGGCAACGAGAAGTGTGCCTTGAAACTGAGGAGATACGACAAAGGGGTTCTTTTTAGCGGTAAACGCGCAAGCTTGTGTCTTCTAGGAATTGAACTGGACTAGATTTAGTCGTCCCCAATCCGAGACTTTGTTAAGCAAAGACTCGATTTCAGACACAAGTTTCATACGGCGGTAGCCTGAAGAACGCAACCGCGAAAGGAGCGTGAGTGGCACCACACTCTGGATCATACAATGGTTTAAAGAGCCGAGAGAGGCGTCGGCGGTAATCTGATATCCGCCCAGATGAGATGTCAGCAGAAGGTCCAACAGGGAAGGTGTATGATCCTCCACATCTGGGGGGGGGGGGGTACCGGCGCCGCGCAGGTTGGGCGCGTACTCCGCGAGGTCGATCTCCTGCAGCCACTGCATGACGCGGTGCGACGACCAGCGCGCCAGCTGGTGCAGTGTGTGGGGGGTGTGGGGGTGGGGTGTAGGTACCGGCGCCGCGCAGGTTGGGCGCGTACTCCGCGAGGTCGATCTCCTGCAGCCACTGCATGACGCGGTGCGACGACCAGCGCGCCAGCTGGTGCAGTGTGTGGGGGGTGTGGGGGTGGGGTGTAGGTACCGGCGCCGCGCAGGTTGGGCGCGTACTCCGCGAGGTCGATCTCCTGCAGCCACTGCATGACGCGGTGCGACGACCAGCGCGCCAGCTGGTGCAGTGTGTGGGGGGTGTGGGGGTGGGGTGTAGGTACCGGCGCCGCGCAGGTTGGGCGCGTACTCCGCGAGGTCGATCTCCTGCAGCCACTGCATGACGCGGTGCGACGACCAGCGCGCCAGCTGGTGCAGTGTGTGGGGGGTGTGGGGGTGGGGTGTAGGTACCGGCGCCGCGCAGGTTGGGCGCGTACTCCGCGAGGTCGATCTCCTGCAGCCACTGCATGACGCGGTGCGACGACCAGCGCGCCAGCTGGTGCAGTGTGTGGGGGGTGTGGGGGTGGGGTGTAGGTACCGGCGCCGCGCAGGTTGGGCGCGTACTCCGCGAGGTCGATCTCCTGCAGCCACTGCATGACGCGGTGCGACGACCAGCGCGCCAGCTCCGCCACGCCGGCTCCCTCGCCCTCCGACTCCCCGTCGCCGCTCGTTTGCCGAGTTTCCACTTCAACTGCGCGTCTGATCATGGTTTCAGGGTTGAACTGGTTATCCCGAAGTACTTGGATGCCTGAAAACAATTTTATTTTTTAGCAAAATTCGCGTTATACATGACTTTCATTTTGTCCATGTTCATCTTAAGACCTATCCGTTGGGAGACACTACTGGGGTCATTGAGCATAGTGCTCAGGTCCTTCAGCGATTCTGCCACAAGGATTATATCGTCGGCAATTTTTTTTTTATTGCGGAAAATTGTCGAGAATATTAACTGTTACTACTATACTTGAAAAGTTGCATTTTTAGGTTCGTCTATAATCCACTCAAACGTCCGTGGATACTACGGTATCCAAAATAAAAGTAGCATTGTACGTTCTGGATACTATAGTATCCATAGCGTCAAGTTTTATGAAACTGATATCTATGGACAGCTGCGGTAATTTTTGTACATAAAGTCGATAGCTGACGAACTATTTTACGTACTAAATACGAGATGGCAGTGTAACAAGCCTTGACGAATGAACAAATAACTATCTAACTTCAGTGCTTCAGTCAACTCTACACTCGGTGTTTTGTGAACAAGTGTTTTTGTAGTGCCAGCGATTATGTCGTAAGTATTTTAGTTTTATTTAATGTTTCTTAGATTATTATACATCATAGTAAACTAGATGATTTGGGCTTTATAATTACGTATACATATCACAGTTCTAAGTGTAAAATGGAGTCATATTTTAAATTCAAAGTATAACTGTTTAAAAAAATGGCCATTGTGAAGTCGTCGGGCCAATTTTAATTTTGTTTACTTTGTTATTCAGTAAAATTATATTTAAACAACGAGTGACAGTTCATAATAAATATAATAATGCATTTTAAAACAGAATTAAACTGTATTCACTGAAGATTCCTTAAAAATGTTATTGTATTCCTCAGGTCTTTTGTTGTGGATAGTTTGGTATCCATGGACGTAACCACAATGGCTCTAAATAAGGGTCGGTACAAATAGCAAAATATGGTTGCAATATGTTTTGCTTTGTTATTTTTTGCATTATGGGTCTTGGTTGGTTTGGGTTATGAGTTTTTTTTTTCGCTTTGTGTTTCGTCATGCTCTTATCTCATAGTTTTTGTTCTTGTGTTATAATAATGTTATTTTTGTTTACGATTGTCGTACGCTGGTCGACTTTTACTCTCTTTTTTATTAAACTTCACTTTACTTATATGGAGGGTGTGTTCTACGATTTCAACTCACTTGATTTTCCTTGTTATGTATTGAATTTAATTCTCATGTTTAATAAAAAACATTCATTTTTTGGTATATGGTTTTCGCTTGGCACAATTTGTTTAAAAAGTGGATGATATTAATATGGCTTTGTGAAAAAAAAAATATATTTATTATGTCAATAAACTTGATTTTATTATTGGTGTTTAATTTAAAACCTCAACTAAAAAAATCTCATAGCTACCTTTTTTTAAGTTGCTTAAATTATAAAGTGTGAATGAGACCTTGGATAGGCGGCCATCTTGCTTATATTTTGCCTTCGCGAGCGAGTCGAAAGCGCTCGAGGACTTGCGGTAAAATTACGAGGAGTAGGTGTTTTGTTTCGATTTATTTAACTAATCAGTCTTAATTAAACATAAACATCTATGCATCATAAGAAAGGTAATTATGTCCATATTTTTTGTGACATTGAATTATTTGTAAAAAATACAATATTTCTTCGTTGTGCGGGCCGGACGCTTGAGTGGTTATAGATTTTAGCTTCACATAAATATGTGATGTGATCTCTCCTTTATGTTTAATTTTTTTTATTCACTGCTGGACGCAGGAATTGCAAGAAAGCGGCAATTGAATTTATTTTGTCCTAATCTTGATTTTTTCACTAATTTACTTAATCTAATTACCAGTAAAATTCCTCACCACTATCACCATGGGCATTTCCAGCATTAAAATAATTATATATTACTTATTAGTGATTACATCCTCGCATAAGGATCAATTGACGTTAACTTCAAAAGATATTAATGTGAAATAAGGCTTGTTTGTGTTTAGAGTGGCGCGTACGCGTGTAGTGGAGGCGCGCAGCGGTACCTCGCCTGATGGAGAGCGCGTGCAGCGCGTGCGCCACGCGCAGGTGCGCGTGCAGCTCGGCGTGCGCCAGGCGGTGCAGCAGGCGGCCGTCCAGCGCCGCGTCGGCCGCCGCGCCGCGCGCCCCGCACACGCCCACGTCCTCCAGCCAACGCAGGGCCCACGCGGTGTCCAAACGCCCCGCCGCCGTCAGCAATGGATCTCCGTGCCCACCCTATGAAATTACCGTGATCACTAGTTGCGATAGCATCAAACATAAACAAAGAGATCACAGAAGTTCCACAAATAACGAGGACTAATAAATTTTCACTCACCAGATGTCGCTAGTTGACACTGAGGTAGTTTTTTGTTACACAATGCCAGTTAATTATGAAGTAAGTTTTAAATAAAAGTTTATCAGTTTCTAGTGTATTGTAGTATTAAATACACAAAACAATGCCTCAGTAAAGAGCTCTTTAATATTTTTGCACATTTTAACTCTATTTTATAATTTTCTACTTTTATGAATATCTGTGTGGTTTGGTTTATTTATTTTTAATGTAATTAATAAAAAATATAAGAAATAGTACAGAAAGAAACATTAAAATTTACGAAAATTAACTTCCTCGCTATGAAATCTGTCAAATGGTAGACCTCATTTTTTGGAGCCGCTCTGATGGCAGAATAAGTCGTGAATGCCTTCATTGTTCCGGATCTGGATGTTTGTCCTTGTGAAATTTACGTATGTAAATTGCTCCTAAAATACGGACAAAATCCTTGTGTTGAGGTGATTTAAAAAAATAAAGAAGTAAAGTTACGTCATAACTATCATCGTATATGTGTATTTATCATATACGTATTTTACTTTTTTATACCTAACCTCGCGTAGTTGTGGATAAGAATACCCACTACCCCATATCTTCCCGTGGGTGTCGTAAGATGCGACAGAGGGAAACTGAGACAGAAGATGGGTAGCAGCATCTTTCTGATGACAACAAATTATAATAAAAAAAACTGCAGTTGTAAACCAGCTCGCCAAGCACGGCAACTATGGAAATATATCACCCACGACGAGGGTTACAAAAAGATGACCCCCGTCCCCAACGGTCCCGCTATTCTAGGCTACGGTGGCGACCATGGTAACGGTGGGGCAGGGGTGCTAAGAATCACCGATGGAGGTTCGGTTGCCACCTAACGAGTCGTGCCTAACGACTCGACCTGGCACCCTAAGGAAAGACGAGAAGATCCTGGAGCTGGAAGAGAGACAAGTTGCGCTGGGATATTCTAGGATTATCTGACGTCCAGAGAGGGGGAGGTCACGGTAATCCTCGAATTCGGCAACCTGTTCTATAACCGGGAGAGCGACCATCTGTTCCAAAAAGGTGTCTGATTTATCGGCCACAAGTCTCTCGTTAACAAAGCAGTAAAGATTGTGAGTTTGTCGACGAGGGTTGTGTACATTATACTCAGAATCACCAAATGGTATTCGTTGAAGGTCTTACAGGTTTAAGCACCAACCTCAGCACATCCCGATGAGGAGATGGAGGAGATGTATGAGGATATCTCTAAAGCCATGCATTCCTCCAGAACTCACTTTACGGTGTTAATGGGACATTTCAACGCAAGACTAGGTACAAGAGAGAACGGTGAGCTGAAGGTAGGGAAATTTGGAATAGGTAAACGGAACCCAAGGGGCCATCAGCTGGCCGACTTCATGGAGAAAGAGGAACTCTTTATGATGAACTCTTTCTTCCAGAAGCGGCCCCACAGGAAGTGGACCTGGTCGAGCCCCAAAGGTTCGATAAAAAACGAAATTGAATCAATTTTGTTCAAATGATTAAGCTTGACTTCAGATAGTAAGACAAAATAGCAAAATAAGGGTCGAAGAATTTTTTATGCAACAAATAGTTACTGATGAACTCGATCCGGAATGTCATCATCACAATCGAAAAACGTACGATCGTGCATATAAAATAGCTGTCAACTATAAAAATGAAAATTACAGACGGTAATTTTTCCATGTAGTACACAAGCGTCATAACAGAACATATCAGTGACCGATGCAATCCTCGGTCTGCTTACAGTAGTGACCGGATCAGGCTGAGATTACTTGTCATCCATAATTGATGCACTCTGAATATCAGCGGCCAGTGAATACCAGACTCAGTATTAATCACTATCGGATCAGTTATAATTATTTTATAAGATATTAGTTTTATTAGATACCGACGCAACTGTCGTAGAAAGGGTAATAATGGGACTGAAAGAAATGGGCGCAGTTGAATTATTGGCGGTTCTAGTACCGCTATTAACTCATGATTTCCAAATTTTTTTTCAAGCAATTTTCCCAGATTGAGTAAAAAGCCTTTGTAATTCTAATATAATAAATCAGGACACAAAAAAGATGTTTCCAATTATCAAAATATCTTAATACTCTCATTTACGATTAAAATACTAAAAAAATTAATTATTATAATTAATTTTAGATTAATGAATTATTTATAAAGTAAATCCATATTATCGAATATACAATATGGTTTCAGACCAAAACTGTCCACTACTGATGCTGTGCAGGAAATGTTAATATAGAAACCGATTCCGTCTTATTTCCTTTTTTTCTCAAGAATGTGCTATTTTTAAATTAGGTAATGTCGCTTCGTTACCAATGACGAAACGAAAATATTCAAACAGCGAATACTATAAAACTATTAAATCTGCACCATTTAATAGTTTTATAGTATTCGCTGTTCGAATATTTTCGTTACATTTCAAGCAATGAAATTTTATATGGTGCGCAAAGATTATAAGCGAGTACTTACCGCGGCAAGAAACTAACGTACGTGTGCCTACCAATCGAATAACAATTGACAGCTAACCAAACTATTCACATGCAGTGAGCGATAATTTAAATAGTTAATATGAAGATATGTGGATTGCACATGGAGACTCTATATTATGGCCTGCGAACTCGCCGCATCTTTTACCGTAAGACTATTATCTGTGGTGTGAAATAAAGAGTCGTGTTTACGTCAAAGAGGCCCAAAGTTATGCCACCGCAACAAAATTATTACTGCATTCACGGAAGTTAAAAGTGCTCAAGCACAGATAATAAGTGTAAAAAATTATTTAAGGAAACGTGCTTGTCTATGCATGGAGAGAAACGGGTTCCATTTTGAAGTACAAATATTAGTTATTAGGTGTACTTTCGTAATTTAGTAGTAAACAGTTTGTTCCAATGTTTTAAATACGCCATAATAATGACAGTCATCACTTACGTCGTTGATAAGCAAAAATATGTTTTTTAATTTTATTTACGATCTAACTAGCTGATGACCACTCTAAGCCCGTTAAAGGTGTGAAAATTGGAACCATAATTCGCATCGTGTAATTATTAACTTAAGCATTAGGAGTGATCGGCGCACAGCAAGGTTTTGTTAGGGTTAATAAATGCCTCTAACAAAATATCATCATCATCATCATTACAGCCCTTCACAAGTCCACTGCTGAACATAGGCCTCCCCCAAAGAATGCCACAAAGCACGGTCCTGAGCCACCTGCATCCATCGACTTCCTGCATATCTTACCAGGTCGTCACTCCATCTAGTGGGGGGACGCCCTACACTTCGCCTGCCGGTACGAGGCTGCCACTCTAGAACCTTTCTTCCCCATCAGTTGTCGGTTCTTCGAGCTATATGGCCGGCCCATTGCCACTTCAGCTTACTAATCCGTTGGGCTATGTCGGTCACTCTAATTCTACTGCGGATATCCTCATTTCTGAGTTTATCACGCAGGGAAACTCCGAGCATAGCCCTCTCCATAGCTCGCTGAGCGACCTTGAGCTTCCTCATCCGGCCAGCAGTGAAGGACCACGTCTCAGTTCCGTATGTCATCACTGGCAACACGCACTGGGTGTACAGTCTCGTTTTCAAGTTTTGAGGTATACCTGACGAGAAGATGTGTCGTAGCTTCCCGAACGCTGCCCAGCCGAGTTGAATCCGTCGATTGACCTCTCGGTCGAAGTTGGACTTACCTAGTCGGACTATTTGTCCCAGGTAAACATACTCGTCAACAACTTCGAGCTTAGTGTTCCCAACAACTACCGGCATAGGTGTGACATGGACATTAAACATGATCTTTGTTTTGTCCATGTTCATCTTAAGACCTATCCGTTGGGAAACACTATTGAGGTCATTGAGCATAGTGCTTAGGTCCTCCAGCGATTCTGCCATAAGGACTATATCGTCGGCAAATCGAAGGTGAGTGATGTACTCGCCATTGATGTTTATACCGTATCCTTTCCAGTCCAGAAGCTTGAAAACATCTTCCAATGCAGCGGTAAAGAGTTTCGGGGATATGACGTCACCCTGTCTTACACCTCTCTGCAATTGGATAGTTTTCGTACTCTGGTTCTGTACTCGGATAGCCATCGTAGCCCTACTGTACAAGCACTTCAACACTTCGATATACCGACAGTCAACTTGGCATCGCTGAAGGGACTGCAGCACCGCCCAAATTTCGACGGAATCAAAGGCTTTCTCATAGTCCACATACGCCAGACATAGTGGCAAATTGTACTCCTCGGACTTCTGTATAATTTGCCGAAGGGTATGTATGTGGTCTATGGTGCTAAAGCCTTTTCGGAAACCGGCTTGTTCGGGAGGCTGGAAGTCGTCAAGTCTGTGCGCGAGACGATTCGTAATGACTCTCGAAAACAGCACGTAGACGCGGCTCAGAAGGGATATCGATCTGTAGTTCTTCAAGAGAGCGTTGTCGCCTTTCATGAAGAACAAGACCACCGCACTTCTGCTCCACGCCTCCGGTGTAATGCCACCATGGAGGACGGAATTAAAGAGCTTCTGAAGGACTTCAAGTACCAGTTTTCCACCCGCTTTCAGAAGCTCCGCTGTAATTCCATCCTCGCCTGGGGCCTTGCCGTTTTTACGGTGCTGGAGAGCCATTCTAATCTCGCTCAGACTGACGTCCGGGATATCAACGGAATAATGTCGGATAAGACTCGCTCTTGGATCGTTACTCACACTTGCGTGCGGCTCCAACGATGACGTGTACAGCTGCCCATAGAACCTCTCAATCTCACTCAAAATCTCAGGTGCCCCGGAAACGATGCTGCCACATTCTGTCTTCAGCTTTGACAGTTGGCGCTTTCTCGCAGACAGATCTCTGGCAAAGACTTTGGAGCCTTGGTTCCGCTCGATCGCTTCTTCAATACGAGCTGTATTGAAGTTGCGTAAGTCCCGCCGCATGCATTTGGAGATCTGTCTGTTCAGTTGCCTGTATGCTGTTAAATCTGTTGAAGAATGTAGCTTCATCTCCCGTCTAACAGCATGAGATTAAGAGTGTGATCGGAGAGTTTTTGTGTTCTTCTGCGGCGGGTCTTGCAGAACTTAGCTCCGACCGCATGGACAGTTTCCACGAGCTTGTCATTCAAATCGTCCACTTCATTGCAGTCTTCTAGGCACTGAAAACGGTTTTGTAACTCGAGCTGAAAGGTTTCGGGACTTTGGATTAGAGCACGAGGGGGACGGAGCGTTGACTTCATTAGACGAGACCTCTCCAACTTAACGTTTAGGTTCAGTGTGCCTCTAACCATTCGGTGATCGCTGCCGGTTTTCACCCTCGCGATCACTGAGACATCACTGAACAGTTGTCGTCTGGTCGTCATAATGAAGTCAATCTCATTTTTTGTCGAACCGTCGGGGCTCGACCAGGTCCACTTTCTGTGGGGCCGCTTCTGGAAGAAAGAGTTCATCATAAAGAGTCCCTCTTTCTCCATAAAGTCAGCCAACTGCTGGCCCCTTGGGTTCCGTTGCCCTATTCCAAATTTCCCTACTTTCAGCTCACCGTTCTCTCTTGTGCCTAGTTTTGCATTGAAGTCTCCCATTAACACCGTATATTGGGTTTTGGAGGAATGCATGGCTCTAGAGATATCCTCATACATTTCCTCCACCTCCTGATCGAGGTGTGCCGAGGTTGGTGCGTAAACCTGTATGACCTTCAGCGAATACCGTTTGGTGATTCTGAGTATAAGGTACGCAACCCTCGTCGACACACTCTCAATTTTTACAACGTTTTTAACGAGAGACTTGTGGACGATAAATCCGACACCTCCTTGGGACAGATGGTCGCCCTCCCGGTAATAGAGCAAGTTGCCGGATTCGAGGATTACCGTGTCCTCCCCCTCTCTTCGGACTTCGGATAATCCTATAATATGCCAGCGTAACTTGTCTATCTCTTCTTCCAGCTCCACAATCTTCTCGTCAGTCCTCAGGGTGCGTGCGTTGTATGTTGCCAGGTCGAGTCGTCGTAGGTGGCAACCGAACCTCCACCGGAGATTCTTAGCACCCCCTGCCCCGCCGTTACCATGGTCGCCACCGTAGCCAGGAATAGCGGGGCCGCCGGGGACTGGGGGCCGTTTATTATTGTCATTGCTCATGGGGGGTATATTGCGATAGTTGCCACGCTTGGCGAGCGGGTTGGCAACCGCAGTTTTTTTATTGTTATTTTGGCTATTATCAGGAAGATGCTGCTGCCCATCTCCTGCCTGTTTCCCTTTGTCGCCTTTTACGACACCCAGGGGAAGATATGGGGTAGTGGATATTCTTAACCGCCACTACACGGCAACAAATTTATTTATTTTTCCAACCCAGTATATAATAAAATTATGTTTAATAATCCCTGAAATGTATGTACATCAATGTTGCTCATTTGCAGAGCTAAATGTAATCGCCCAGTTATTTTAAATGCAAAGACTATTAAATATCTTTGAATAATAATAATTATAGATTCTACTTTTACAGACTACTTTGACCTGTGCAGTAGAGTCCGTAAACTAATGTTTGTTTTTTAAAAACATTCGTTCTTTTGCTGATATTAAGGTAATAACGCAAGTGTATTTCGCATTATGTCAAACGATTCTCACCTATTGTATAAACTCATGGGAAGGAGCAACTAAAACTACACTGCTACCACTGGAACATGCTCAAAGAGCTGTATTAAAATTATTATTTCCCGTCCCATCTCTTGTAAAAATGCTGTAATGTCCTCTAAGTACGACAGTAATTCGTTATGAGTACGTTGGTAAAACAAAACTTAAAATTGCACTACCGAACTGAGGTTACTGATAAAAGACGCGAAGACAAAGTAAGTGAAACTAACATCAGATTAAGACATTCTTTCGTGGATGGATTTTTTACATTCTTTAGTTCTTTTCTATGTAATCAAGTCTATGCAGTTCAGTACATGTATCCATTCAAAGTGGCTGATTGTAACAAATATAATTCGAACATGCTTACAAAATTTGTCATACGATGATACGGAAAAGTTGCTGATTGTATAAGTTAATTTATGTTACCAAATTGTAACGAAATTAACTCTAAATAGTCGGTATGTTATTCATTTTATACATGAAACAGAAAATATTTGTTAGTGTATCTATTAGCACATACACCCGAAATACAGGTTTATCCTAGTTCAGGTACCTGTTATTGTAGACTTTTTTTTTAAATAAGGCTATGTTTGAATTAATTGTAGTTATGTAATGTTTTATGAATAAATAGTTCAACTGTGTAATCAAATAGTAACTTTCATACTCGGATCGGGTAATAATTTATCTAAAGGATAACCTTTATCTAACGATTGAAAAATCAGCCCTAAGCAAAATATGGGTTTTAAAAAATTAACACTCTTACCAGTAAATCTGTAATAGCGAGTAAAATTTTCTTCTTGTGCATCGGATGTTTTATAGCCAATTCCTTTTCGATGGTATTGTGAGAAGCGCTCGCTATAACTCCTTTAGCGTCGGGTGTAGCACCAAGCCAGGTTCGCGCGGCCGCTACGTATGTTTCCAGTCCGAGGCTTTCTAGCCATCCGCAAGTCGTCTCGCAGTCCCATTCGCGCACGTCTGTTGTTTGCCTATAATTATGAAAAACGTAAAATTACGAAGTGAGGTCTGTGATTTGTTATGAAATTGCTTGTTTTGCATGAACACATGAACACTTTAAATGTGGATAAAGGAAATAATATTTAACTTCCTTGTAGCAGTGCAGTAGCGGTGTAAGAATATCCACTACCCCATATCATCCCGTGAATGTCGAAAAGACGACAGAGGGAAAACGAAACAGGAGATGGGTAGCAGCATCTTCCCGATAACAACTCAAAATAATAAAAATCTACGGTTGCCAACCCGTTTGTCCAGCGTGGCAACTATGGCAAAATCTCCCCATGAGGTTATCTCTGAGGGAGGCCTACGTTCAGCAGTGGACTTTTATAGGCTGTAATGGATAGATGGAAATGACGAAGTGACACGACACGACACCTGGAGGGTAGACACGACATCTTCTAGAATGCTCCACTCCGCCACAGAAAAAGAGAGTGCTGTCTAACGTACCTTATGTAAAATACTATCAGTTAAAAATTATCTGAATTCAAATAACTGTCGCTGTATAATTGTACCGTACGAGAATTTACAACACAATATCTATATATAATTATAGTTTTTTTACACTCCACCTGATGTTCAGTGGATGTTGTGGCCCACAGACATCTACATTTATACTTAAATTAGAATCAAAATTCAGATGCGCTGTTACCCCCGAGAATTAAGATGGAATGCTTCGTTTTTTTATATTTCGCAGTTGCCAGTCCGTTTCAGCCATGCGCGGCAACTATGCCAATAATTCAAATCTATAGGTGAGGCGTATGTTCAGCAGTGGACTTTAATAAGGTGTAATGGTAACGATAACGGTAGACGAAGTATCAATATAACTATAGCAATCGCGGGGGAGCTGCGGTCGAGGCTACGCTGTGGAATGGTGCAGTGTGGTGTGGGCGGTGTGGGGTGTGGGCGGTGTGGGGTGTGGTGCGGCTGCAGTCACCAGGGCGCGGGGAGTGCGCGGGCGCGCGGCGCGGCGCGCAGCGAGGCGCGCAGGTGGCCGCCCTCGAGGCGCACGGCGCCGCTGCCCAGGCGCGCACGCACCTCCCGCAGCGACGGCGACGGGCTGCCACGAGGAATCGCCTCCTCCTTCTCCGCTGTTCACGTTATGGACGTCACTTTTTAAAACCTTACATCTCATCGTGTCGATGTTTTTTTTTCTGCTTATTTTTACATTTTTTTTTACAGGCAGTTACATAATCCATTTCGGGTTTGTGTACAAGTGTCAGACTCGAAAATTTACTTAAAACATCACGTCAAATTATTGATTAAGTTACTATGACTTAGAGAATTTAGGAGCACACTCATAACATTCATAAGATATTATTCTAAAGATCATTGAACTTGTTTGGATTTATCTTGTTTAGGATACTATTTTCTATATTCATTATTTCATTTTAGAAAATTGTACAAAGGTAAATAGGAAAATTTTCTTGAGTTTGAACCCCTATTTTAATTTGTATTTGAGCTGCATACACTCAGATACAACAGCAATTTTTGTTTTGTCAAATATATTGAGACTTTAATTTTCAAACATGAAACAACTATTTATACAGTCTACAAATAGTTGTACTCAGTGGATGTATGTCTATATACATCATGTTACAGGAGTAATTTTTAGTATGCAATAACTTTAAAAATAAATTCAATTCGGTTCAGAATTTGCTTTGCACTTATTTAAAAATACTAATATTTTCTAAAATATTCTATTTGAATTTCCTTATTTAAGAGACAAATATAATATATAAAAGAACGATAGTTAATAGGTACGCTAAATCATGATGTTTATTTTATATAAATATAGTTTACTTTTGCATACTAAATGTCCTGTCCGGATAATATAATATGCCTGAAAAATGTAAACACTGCTAAATTTTAACATTCATTGTCATTTTATCCCCATAAATGTATACACGCCGTAAGTGAACGCTAAAACAGAAGCATTCGTTCGAACCAGTCAAATTTCCGATGTAACGTTAGTTATAAGACCAAAGACACACTTAAAGAGAATGTCAGAAACAAGGAGATGGTTACAATATATTCAGATCAAAAAACTAAGAATCTGCACTTTTACTAAAGTGCAACAGTTCAAGTTCTTTGATGAGCCAAACAAATAAAATGGATATACATATAAAACTAAAGTAAAGTTACAGGCTATATACATCCCACTGCTGGGCACAGGCCTCCTTGTGAGGAGAAATGAGTTTCTAGTGTTTTAGAACAGGAAATGTCCGCCGCGCTGCCCCAACGCGTGTTGGCGAACTTCACATGTCTTCGAAATATTTGTTTTCTTATTGCTCAGGTTTCCTTACGATGTTTTCCTTCTGCGCCGAGCACGTGGTAAATCAGTACTTAAGATTGAAATTAACAATTTCATTGGTGCCGACGAGGATCGAACCCGGGTTGCTCGTTTACCGTGAAATTTCAGCGAACACGTAGCCCTTGAGTTAACACGGCTCGCACATATTAAAGGCTTTTAATACTATAAAAATACATTATCATAATACTTACAACATTTAAGCAAGAAGCATGCGGCAAGAATACCTTAGAAGAAGCGTGCAGAACTTTGAAATTAGACAGAAAGCAGAAACAGTTATCATTTAGATTAGATATTATGAAAAAAAAAACACATGCGAGGACGCGGACATAAGGTACTCTAAGATTTTATAAATTGCTAGTTTAAAAGTTGTCAATTGTCAGAAACAAATGTAAAGCTTACTGTATATAAAATGAGAATTAATATCGAGAGAAATATAAACACGTTAAAAATAACAGAATGCTTAATGAAAATATATAAAGAACAGTGTAAAGGGCTGGTTCAAGGCACTCTTTCATATTTAAGGCAAAAGGAAACTAGAAAATTTTGACGCTAATATTTTTAAAACCGGCCACATTTCAAACTGCAACATAAGCTAAAACTAAGAGGCTAAAATTATAAATTTCCCAAATATGTGTCCATCACATGTTCAACATTGGAAAGTTACGCAAGAAACGGCCTTGTGTAGTAGGTAGTAAAGATCGTTATTGTTTGCATGCTTGTTGATTTGCGTCCCGGACCTAGATTGGGCACCGATTGTCCGCGGCCGCGCGCCACCACCATGTTGTTCTGTTTACCGAACGCGACGCGCGCCTCTGACGTCACCACCGAGGAGCGCGGCAGAGACGAGTACAGGTGCGTGTTGCGTTCGATCTGACGCCCGTAGTTCGCTGGCGGTGTCTGAAAAATAACATACTAGTATATCATTTTTTTTTTTCATCAACTCGCAAATTTTTACTGGGCCTCTTTTTGTAGGTTTGTTGATTTATAGTAAGATTTGCCATATACGTGGTAGAGCCACTCCGCAGCTATTTTAGTTATAGCACGAATAGGTCCGCTCGACCGGGGTAGGGGTCTCACTCTCACAGAATATCAGCGTAAAATAGCAGTTTAAGTTGCTGTGTTTCGTATGGTGAGTGTACAAAAACGAAGATCCTTTTTACTGGAAACGAAGCATTAATTCCATCAGTTTTTCTTCGAGGACAAATGTAGATATCTATGGACCACATCATCCCCTTATCATCAGGTGCACTGTGTGCTTGTTTGTCACTTATATTCTATAAAAAGACTTGGCAGGCGGACTGAATTTAAGATCGTATTAGCAGACATATTATATCTTTGACGCTGCTCTCCGTCACCGGTCTGGATATTTTCATCCGACGTAACCGCGGTGGTAATCAGAACACCTATCAGAAACATATAACGTTTATGTATTATAATACTCGTATGTTAAAGGAAATAAAGTCAAAACACTGGAAATATTTTGCCATACTCAAGATGCTGAATAACATGGTAAGCCTAGTGCTGATTCTGGTAAATTTGCTGCCCATCTGTCTGTGAAATTTAGGTAAATTTATTTAGCATTGGATATTTAGTCTTTTACTTATATTTCCAGGATTATTATATAAAATCCGCTAATTTGCAACTAAATAGAAATAGATGAAGACAGTGTTTACATTTAAATATAAAAAATGGTTTCTCAGTGCTACGGACACTATATTACAACATTCGTCGATTTCACCAACGTTGTTCGTGAGGTTGACATTTGGCGAAAAATATTTGCATTCTCATCTATTCGTAAATAGTATAGTCTGAGTCTCTCTTATTACAGGGAGAATTTACATTAATCGCATGCTGCTTGCACCAAATATTTCGCAACTTTGACACTGACAATATCATTGAGAGAAGTATCATTGGAAAACACCAACCACCTTCATTAGTTAGGAGATGTGATTTCCTCGCTTGGGCATCTAAACTTGGACATTTAATCGAGGAGTAGAGCCAAAGCAGCTGCAAGGAAGCTAGGTCCCTTGCAAAGGTGAGGCGGTGTATTCACACCGGGACAGATGCTTATATTGTGTTGCATCTCTTTGCATTTGCTTTCGCATTTACAACGGGGAGTGCTCTGAGGAATTGTTCGGATTAATCCCAGCTGCCAAATTTCACGAACGCACATCGTGGCAGAACTCCCGATACCATCCACACCATCTGGATGATTGGCGGTCCACCACTGTGCGATTTAGAAGATGTTTTCTTCCTCGCACAACTTCCTTGTGGAATAGTTTACCACCAGCGATTTTTCCGGACCGATACGACTTAGGGACCTTCAAGAAAAGAGCCTACTCCTTTTTAAAAGGCCGGCAACGCATCTGCAATTCCCCTGGTGTTGCGGTTGTTCATGGGCGGCGGTAGTCACTTACCATCAGGTGAGCCGCATGCTCGTTTGCCCCCTCTCCTATAAAAAAGGGCAAGTCTGATCCTGAATGGATTATTGCTGCCATATATGGGCTGGTGTAACAAAATGTCACCTAGCGGTTGTGCATCCACCTTATTGGTGACCACAATATGGTTAAACCCAATCTTACTAGTCTCGAGTACAGACGCAAAGTTTTTTTTTTATAGAAGAGTGGGAAAACAAGCATGCGGATCACCTGATGGTAAGTGACTACCGCCGCCCATGAACAACCGCAACACCAACAACCGTTGCCAGCCTTTTAGAAAGGTGTAAGCTAATTTCTTGAAGGTTCCTAAGTCGTATCGGTCCGGAAAAATCGCTGGTGGTAATTGGTTCCACAAGGAAGTTGTGCGAATCTTTTTTTAAATAAATAAATGGTATTCGATTTTTAAAACCAAGGAGTTTTCAATTAAAAAGGTTTTAATATGACAGGAACAGTGGAAATATTCCATTCCCGATACTTTTAGTGCAGCCTATGTATTTATATATTTGAACTTAAATAAAAAAAATCGATCGTCCTTGAATAATAACCCTGTATATGTCAACCGTAAAAACTACATAATTCAAATAATTAAAACTAATAAAAAGTCACTACTGGATATCTCAATTTTATGTAATGTTTATATAGTAATGGAGATCAAAAATAATTGTTAAACAAAATATTTACCCTTGGTGGTGCTGGGCGTGTCAATGGCATTGCATCCGGAGGTGGCGACCGTTCTAGAACACCACGCTCTACTACTCGAAGTCGGACTTCGCTAAGTTTTGACAATAGTTCTAACTTTTGCGTCTCCAGTGATGAACGTTGAAGCATTTCCTGTAAACAATTTATATAGTTAAAGTAACATACTTCGTGTAGTATTGTACGTCTCAGTTTTTTTTAAAGGATAGGGTGACATACGAGCACACAGTCCACCTGATGGTAAGTGGTTGCTGTGGCCCATAGACATCTACATTTATCCTCGTTTGCGAATCAAAACGCAGATGTGTAGTCACCCGTGAGAACTAAGTTGGAATGCCTCTTTTCCAGTAAAAAGGAGACCATTTTTGGAGGTTCTCTACACTCACCATACGAAGCACAGCAGTGTTAAGCTGCTATTTTACGCTGGTATTCTGTGAGAACGTGCTCCTTCCTCGGTCGAGCGGACCCATTCGTGCTACAACTATACTACTAATATAGCTGCAGCATGGCTCTACCACGTATAAAAAGTTATGAGTGTAGATTAATAAGATCGAAGAGATTAGCCCACAGACTAACTTTTACGTAGTAGAGCCATGTTGCCATTGTATTATGTGTGATACTAGCAGCATAAACGCTGTGTTTCGCATGATGAGCGACGGATACTGGATACCCTTTTTTCAAGATTCATGTTAGTTTTGAGGGAAACGTGTATTACGTTGTATTTTCAAATACATAATTGTCTACATATGGGCCGCAGTACCTTCTTACCGTTAAGTGTGTGCTCACTATATTACTGCTATAAAAAATCTAATTCTAAACCTATATTACAACTCCGTCCGCTTGAACGTACTTGTTTGTTATATTCTGGAAGTTTACTGCCAGCCATATTATATATGTATATCCATCCACCACTGCCTATTTTTTAAACATCATACCATAATATGTCGAAACTGTGTTAAGCTGCACAATATTATTCAGGCTAATAAAATAAAAATTACATAAAGTTTGGCCGATAATATACGACACACCATAACAAATACGAAAGAAGGGCGTGCTCTGCTCGGCAAATAGCCAAAATGGACATAAAGTCCATACTTTATAGGCAATTTGAAAGATAAAACATTGCCTAGTCCTAATAATGTTTGGCATCGAAAAACTAAAAAAGTAAAGTAACGTTTACGTTGTCTAACGATGGCTACGAGTTTAATATAAACATAGGAACTGGTTACGTGTTAAAATAAAATATAAACAAGAGAGAGTTTTAAATATTTTTATACGTAAACAAGTAGCCGTTCGTTTGGATACATGATCACACTTTTATAGATGCTGTATTTGCTCTTATCTCGGTTAATAATAAACGCGTCTGGTTAACGTGTAGGTGGCGCGATTGACGGACAGGCGAGGCGTAAATAGGTTTAAAGAATGAGATCAACTACATTTTGTATACTTTTATTACCTTCAATATATAAATATAAGGAAATAATATGAACGGTTTTTTTTTTTGTATTATTAAATCTACGACAACATGTTTGAATGTGTCATTTGCAATTTCCGTGAAAGAAACATCGTATCTCAAACTGTTTAAAAAACAATCTTGCCAGATAAAAATGCAGCCTAAGCCTACTAACCATTATTTAAAATGAAAAAAGTTAGTTTGTTTTTTATTAGTCGTCACTTCATTATCACAGATTTACGAGAAAAAGCAAAACTTGTCAGTGGAGTAATTTCCTGCTTTTAACGCGGTAAAGGCATGCTGCAGCTATATTATGGCTGTAGCACGAATGGGTTGGCTCGACAGGGGAAGGTCCACGCTCACAGAATACCAGCTTAAAATTGCAGCTCAATACTGAAGTGATTCGTATGGTGAGAGTAGAGACCGGAGACCCTTTTTATTGGAAGGGAGGCATTCCATCTTAGTCTTCAGGGGTGACAACGTATCTGCATTTTGATTCTTATTTAAGGATAGATGAAGATGTCTACGGGCCACGGCATCCACTTACCATCTGGTGGACTATGTGCTCGTTTGTCATCCTTATTTTATATTATCTAAGTTATTTTAATAACTTTTATTATTTTAAAATTAAACTTCCATTCGTTGTCTTTATGTCCAATTAATTTGTTCCATTCTCCAACATTCTCATTATCTTTAGTCATTCTCTAATTCCCAATTATTCTGTATCTTTTTGTGCCATGGCCCAGGTTATGCATGCATACCGGCCTTTGTGTCAAACATTTTACGTTTAAATATTATACAAAAACTCTAATTTTGCGGATATAGCGTGATATTCTTTCTGTTTTAAAGTTTTTATTTTAAAGACTTGCCATCGCTATTCTGCCTGTTTTTGCTCCGAATAAATAAAGAAGACAAATGGATTCGAGTTTTAATTCTAATTTAAACTATCATCTCAGTGCACCATTCGAAAAACTAGTGACAAAACCCAATGAATTTATAATCGGTCTGGTCTGGAATGACTGAAAAGAATTAGAGTTTCGCGCAAAAAAAAATGAAATCCCATGAAATCCAAATTCTACGCGGGCAAAGTAGCGGGGAACAGCTAGTTATTTAATAAAACTAGTAATAATTGTCAAATCGAAAAACGTCATGATAATCATCAGAAAGCTTAGGAGAGGCGTTAACATTCTTTAGAAAAATAAATATAAAATATTTATATATCGCTGTCGCGTACATATTTCACAAACATAGTAAATAAAATTAATATTACAATAAAACCATAGCGCAGAAATGACACAAAATAATTAATAGACAGGTTTGGTATGGACGTTTACTAGTTAGACATAAATTTGGACTAGATTTTTACAATAATTTCGTGTTTTCTTTGGCTAAACAATAGTGCTCGAATATCTAAATGATCACAAAGCATAAAAATACGCTCAAATTAGTCAAAAAGTAGAAATATTTCAGCCCCTATCAAAAGTAAGGCACTGCAAAGCAAGATAAAAAAGGAGTATAATCCTCCATACTATTCCACTGTGGGTTGTTGAAATAATAAAAACGGAAAAACCCTATTCAGCTATCGTGGTGCAGGAAAAGTAGATTATGTGAAAAGTGAGAGGGCGAATGAGAGAATAAATCTTTAGTTGTTTCTCTCTTTTTTTTACTATTTTTTGGACACTGTCTGTTTTATGAATTTAAAACTCTAGACGAAACTAACCACAAACTAATAACTAAGAAATCGTCCCCATCGCTAGATATTGGTGTTCCATTACCTCTTGACTACCGTTGCTTTTAGTTATCTATAATAAATAGAAAAAAAGAACACAAAGCAATACAAGAGGAAGCTAAATTTGTTGGTATCAAAAATAATACAAAATAATTGTTATACCACATTGAGTTGTATAAGCAAAAGCCAATATCTTTATCTGTTTCATATCCGACAATATAAGTTGTATGAACCAGCCACAATCAACAACGAATAGTGGGCTATGACCTGTATGATGAATATAATGTAGGAGCAATCAGCACGCCCATTCACAGATCATTTACGTTCGCAACAAACATTTTCTTCTCATCCTCTCAAACATTTGGTAGGTACTGAGTTACAAGAACGACTTGAAAATAATTTATACAAATAAATAAAATTGAAGTGTCTGTTTGTATTAACGTCAAAATAACTGCTTTTTACTAACGCATATGAAAGTAAATCGGCCCCGGCTTCGCACAGTTGATTACTGGATCTAAACAACAGCGCACCCTACCAGGTCCAATTGTGAATCTTAAACATCCAGGGACACAAACACACACACATTTTCTGCACTGTCGTGCATTGCCCACCCTTAACACAAAATATTAATTGTGAATAATATTAATTGTATTATAATTATAAACTTGATAGATGTCACCCAGAGCAGAATTCCATTTGCCCCGATCCTGACACTTCTCTCGCTTCTTTCATGTTAGTGAACATGTTTTGGGCATGCAGAATATTAACTTGGCCTTGACTTTCATACAATATGTTGAAAAATTTCTTTGAGTATAAATAATTACTATTACACGTAAACATAAACACAGTAAATTATTAAAATTTATGCATTTTTATTTCAATATATCGTATATGCTTATGCATTATTGATGGCGCGGTATTTTTAACGGTGCAATCTAATTTGAGAATTCTCATATCTCTTATAAGTCTCTAACATTGGAAAACAAACATTTAATCAACGTCACAGACAAAAAAATCAGCCTTATTTTCATAATATAATCAATAATTACAGCTTATCAAAGTCCACAGCTGATTACAGGACTTTCCTATAGATTACCTCATAGGAGGGATATCCTTCGTTGTCACACGACACCCTCGGTATAATATTATAATAGGGTAGTGGATTCTCCCACATCGTCGGCGAAAGTGATTAATATTCATTTAAATCCGCTCCCTTCAAAAAGTTGTGTATTGAGCAGTCTTGAGAACAGATGGCGCAAGAAAAAATGTCTTCTTATTTAGTATGAAGTTGTCATACTTCTGCGCTAAGAGGCCAACAGTAATAATGTTATCTTACGTCATAAGGTACGTATATATTTCACATATCAGAGAATTCTAAGATGACATATCATATTACTCGTATCTTTACCGTGTGTGGTGTGCCCTAGTGAAACATTGAGCACATCATGTTCGTAACTTCTGTAAGATAACATATTATTATACTTTAGTGTCATGTGTGTTTTGTGCGATTTCAGGATCGTTACCTAGTCCACCATCCACGTTCAAATGAGCCAGACCCGAGACGCATTAGAAATTGTGCGGCCCACACCGATCATATTTATTCATTAACCGTGCCGTTAGGATATAGGCCGCGTTGAATGCATAAGGAGTTAACGCTTTATGGAGTCAAATTGACGAGGTTAACGGAACTCTATTCACGAGATCAATTTCTTTATTTATCGTACACGAAAGGGATATTTGACAGTGAATTCCTGATGAGTGGGATATTCATTATCTATATAATAATAAAAATAATCATCATCATCATCATCTCAATCTATCAAAGTTTACTGTTGAACTTAGACCTCCAAAACAATGCCTCATAGGGAGACATTTACCGCAGTTGCCATGCTGGGCAGTCGGGTTGGGTAGATTTTTTATTATTTTTATAGGAAGATGCTGCTGCCTATCTCTTGTTTCAGTTGCCCTGTGTCATTTTTTATGACACCTGGTTAGTGAATTCTCTTACGCTGTCACTTCACGGCATATTATATACCTAGGTCCAAAATAAGACTATTCATCGGCAACATCCCTAGTCTACTAGTGAACAAAGCTCACCCCAACAGATTGCCACAAAGCACGGCACTGAGCCTCCTGCATTCCTTCGTGCGTGTTTTGCACCTTTGTTCACCCATCGGGTGTCGGATCTTCGAGCTATACGAGTACTACAGACAGTCCGCTTTCACTTCAGCTCATTCATGGGATAGTAAGGATTATGAGGATTCTCGGACATAATGCGATCCATTTTTAACTGATTGACTTTGAATTTCCTCATACAGCTAGTAGTGAATAACCACATCTCAGTACGACTGTAACTGGCAATACGGGCTGAGTATAATAATAAATAATACGGTTTACTTTAGTTTTGACATCCTGAAGTTTATCAGACAAGAAGACATGTCATTACCGAACACGGAAGTTAGATGGTCAAGGTTGGACTTATCTAATCGATTATTTTGCTTCAGGTAAACATATTTACAAACAACTTCGAGAGTAAAGTTATGTGACCAATTAACTTTAATTATTCTTTTACGAAAATAAACTAGGTTCACCGACACCTCTCTAATCTCAATACACACCGACCACCATCGTTGGTAAATGTCCAGTGTTTCGCCTTTAAGCCATCAGGTTGGAGTGAAAAAGGAACTTATCCTAATTTCAATATTTCTAGCTTCAGTGTATCATATTCTGCAAGTACTAATTTAAAAATCTGTTAATTCTACGTAATTTATAACATACTTTATAAATTAATAAATTTATGAATAGCAAAACCACAGACCTAACAGGGTTTGTTAGGTCTTGCTAAACAAAAGAAGTAAAGATCTTTACAATGCATCGAGGTTATTTTAATATTATAAAATACAATATTTGATTATTCGTTGTCAATAAACTTTTAAAAGAAACATATGTATGCAAGTGAGGGCTCGTGACTCGGGTAAAATCCGATAAAATGCATTGATGTTCTCGAGGTCGATATTGACTATGGCGACAGCTTCAAAGCTCTCGGAAGCAATCAACTTCTCATTGGTTATTATGGTGCCACAAGTGTTCCCGCTAACACAAAGGCACCGAATAGACATACGATAGTAATTAATAATTATTATACAATATTATGCTCTTTGGCCAATGGAACGCTTATGAGATAAGATCAAATACCATCTAGAAAAATGCACTGTCGGAAATCGACACGCAACCAACTAGATCAGACAATCAACAACTTAGTGTTACAATTAATGGTAAAACAACCAATATATTGTGTAGTGATACAGTTACCAATCAAACATTCATCCAATTATTCTAGTAATTTTTAGGTTATTCAGGTTTGAACAGACAAGAAAGTTTATATGTTTTATTTATTATATTATATATTATTTAATATCGGGTTTTAAAATATACGCTGTCAAATGCAGATAAATATACAAGTATAACATGTTTAAAGGTTAAAGATATAAACAAATAAGTTCAAGAAACCGGAAAACGATAAGACTGCCTGCCCAATAAATTATTTAAGCGATTAAAATAACGAAATGAACTTGTGTTCCTCATGATAGCCTTTAACTGAGAAGAAATTACAGAATCACCATATTTCGTTTTTCTGTATTTTTTCTGTATCTGGATTTCGTAAATGACAATAAAGTATAAATCAATCAATCATCAATGATGCTGCAAGAGAACTCACCAACATAACCCGTGGGTATCGTAAAAGTTGATTACAGGAAATGCCGGGTAATTTAATGTCAGCCTAAATGGCTGAATAACTGTCTCAAAATGCAAATTTTTTTTATTACTTAATTGCAAGATCGGTAAAGATGGTCTGCGTCTACGTGTGAAAGATGCGCGATTGCTACTCTACCAGTCAAGAATGATAATCGTTGGCCCAGAGAAATTATTAAAGCCTATTTTATACAGAGTTCTATTAAAATTTTTAAGAATGTACACTATATACGCGCTGAAAACTAAAATTATACGCCTTACCTTCTGTAATCTTTGCTCTGTATCGTCCAGTTTCTGTCGCGTGTCGTGAAGTGATCGTTCTAAGTCCGCCATCTTCTCGGTCTGTGCTGCAATTTGTTCAGACAGAACCTGCACCTGTAGCTGCAGACTCTCCTTGTCTGCCTCCAACCTTCGCACACGATCCTCTGCATCGTTCTGAAAATTTCAATATGTATAAAACTTTGGTTTACAAACTTAATTTTCAATTATGTTAAATAAGTTAAAAACTTTATCTATTCGCATGAAAATTTTTCTTAGCAAAATTGCATGGGTATAAAACAGCAAAAAGTTTGTAAAAGCGACAGTTTTTATTCGTGAAACATGCAATAGTCAATAAACTAACATCATGTTAAGAGAGAACTGTCGTTATCATCAGCCTATAGTTCGGTTGGTTTTTAAGTCTATCCCAATTTTTATTTGTTAAATTAGTTAATATGAACATTAGCATTAATTAGTCTCAAACAGTTTTTAGAAGTTTTAATCCCAACGAAGATAGGTATAGATTAATTTTTAATTTTTCTTTTTTTTTCTTTTAAAGATTGAAGTTGAAAAAAATATTGCAAGAAGCAGACGTTCGCCTGTTGTTAATTATTGTACTGTTAATAATTATAATAATTAAAAATTAAAAACTTTGTACAGCCGACTTCAACATAAGTTATTAAGAATAACTCAAAAACTATTGGTCTCACGTTGATCAAATTCATATGGGATCACATGAGAAGTACCAGCTTTCAAATAAAAAAAGAATCATCGAAATCGGTTCACCCAGTAAAAAGTTATGAGGTAACACATAAAAAAAAACAAAAAAAACATACAGTCGAATTGAGTACCGTCTCCTTTTTGGAAGTCGGCAGAAAATTATTATGTTATTAAAATATTTCATCGCATGAATGTCTTAGAGCTAATTATGAAAATGATATTATAAAAAGCAATAAAATGTACGTCTGTCACAAAAATAAAATTGTATAATTTTTATCTATTTAGTATATAACACTTTACCTTTAAGCCGCATAGTATTTTAAAATATATAAACTTGTTTTGCTAGTTTTAGTTTGTTACTTAAATCGTTTAAAATATATATTATCTGTTATATTAAATCAATATTATGTTATTAATTAACATTTAAAATATTAGCAAAGGTAGATGTAAGAACATTTATAAATTAATTATTATTCTAATTCTAAATGTTCATTTTCGTAAACAAAATAACGCGCGCGACAGAGGTAAATATCAATCAATAGGCACCGAGTTACATAAGGCCGAAACATTCATATTCCGCTCACATATCGGTTTAACACGAATTAGCAATTAATGCCTTGTTTAAACGGGGCCGCATTTATTTACCTTACAACTTCGTGGTGGCATCGGCGGGAGCGAGGGGTGTGAGGGCCAAGCGCGGTCGTGCATACAGCAGGGAGGTGGTGCGGGCGGCCCGTGACACCAGCATATCGGAGGCCACCAACCGCCATCGGGCCAGCGAAAATGTTCATAAGAGTTCCATCGCCGTTGCAAGTCGGGAGGAGTTTCTTCGTTCCTCGTGCGACGCGGACGTGGTGAGGCACGTACACTAGACGGGTGATGCGGGGGCTTCGCTGTCAGCGACGACCTAGATTTTCTATCACGTTCATTACGATCTCCCGGCATGCGGCGTCTCCTATCTAAGCTGGTTGAATTGTATTCATCTGGGCGCGTGCCCAATGAAGCAGCCTCAGTTCCCTCTTCCATTATATCCCCGTTTGACATCCACTTGAAATCATTATCGCAACGAGTTGAATTGTCTAGACGTTTATTCGGCGTAAGCGTGCGATAATCAGCATCACCACCGCCTGTTTCATACTCGCGCTCCTCCGAATCTTCATCGCTTGTGGTGCTGGAATCACTATCGGAAGAGTCTGCCTGAGGTGGAGCCAGCGTACCGTCTGTCCAAGTCCTGCATTTCACTGTTGCCTCATCGGGGCTATCCGAGTCGCCGCCTGTCACCAGATAATATGTTAGAATCACATTAGTTTACAAGGAGCCTCATTTGGAATGGGAACTTACCCATTGGAGAGTACATGTAGGAGCGCACGGCAGGGTGCACAAAACCCACTGCCGTATGCTCCTCCTCCTCCCCCTCAAAAGGTTCTGTGAGAAATTCGCGATCAGACATGAGGCTCCTTAAAACGACACTGCGCGACAAGCACTCCGAACGAGTCACCGACGTGTCGCTATTTTAAAGTTTGGCCGAGTTCCAGTGTTACGCTACGTCAATGACTCGTCCACGTATTGTTGATTACGTACTTTCGTGAGGAGGTGGTTCGTCACTGGATTGAACCGATGCGGAGTCGCGCCCCGAAGCTTCCGAGGCCGTAGATCGGGGACGTTCACTGGCACCGGATGTTCTTCGCGAATAGTCGTCAGCAAATATATCTTCGTTTGAGATTCTTAAAACGTTTCTTGACTCCGTGACGGTCGAAAGCGATTTGAAGGCTTGTAATTTACCGTCAGCCGCAGAGCGATTGTGTAACGCCGCTATGGTGGCCGCCACGAATGAGCCCCCACGGCCGAGCTCGCGCATGTTTTAGTCCAAAATGAGCTACGCCACACGAATACGGCCAACGTTCGCGCCCGGAAATAGATCTCGGTTCGTGCGTCTGATGCATTCCGGACACCCTTCCCGCTTTGATCCTTCTTTTATTGAGAACAGGCGTAGTAATATTATTATTAGAATACATACGTCAATGTAAATGGACGGAATATTATTTGCGCGATAGGAATGGATTAGATCGGATCTTGTTAAACACACTACACACACCGCGGTAATACATACGAGAATAGTAATACTTAAGCGCAATGTGAGACGTGCAGCGTGCTGCACACAAGCCGTTTTACTTGGCGCACTCACCGGTAAACAGTTGACTCCTTCGTATAGAGAGCGACGCCCTCTGTCATCGCATTTACTAATGTCTTCATAAGCGCTTACTGTTTCTATTTGATATGCACCCCACGTTTGAAGGCTTCTTGAATGTTCAAAATGTTCATAGACAAATTGGGGATTATACGGTGGCTGCACTGGATAATAAGGCGGAGCACTTGGTTCTTCTAAATCCATCTTAGTTCCACCATTACGGGCACTTAAACAATTCATGACTTTTCCCGAATCTATAAATTATGGGAACTGAAAGTAACGTTTTGCAAATATTTAGGCGTACAGATTTATAGAATATTGAGTGACCTTAAAGTTATTTCGTTTTTACAGTAGAACAGTACGATTCCACCATCGGAAAACCAGACAGTCGGCGGGTCTTCAACCCTTTTTTGTAGATATTCCACGCATTCGAACAAAACAGTTTTCTTCGTTTTTTTGTAATGCGTACAGGAATGGAGCGAAATAATCTGCCGGTGTCTGTCTTTCCGTCCGATTACAATCTAGGTGTCTTCAAGACAAGAGTACATAGACTTGTGTTACGACAAGACAGTGCGATTTACCATCGTGGGGTTCATCACCACTTACTATTACGTGGGATTGTAGTGAAGAACTACCTTATAAAAGTAAAAAAAATAGATGCGCAGATGAACATTGAATGATATGTTCACAATACATATATATTTTTAATTTTTATATTATGTTATATATCTCTGATTATTGTATATAGATATTATATAATATCTTAGGGCAGTAGTATCTCGTTATATATTAGTGTGTCATTGTTGTGAATTTCTAAATGTAGGTCATATTATAATATCCAATATTCATTTGATAGTAGGTACCTAAACTTTCTTGTAGCCCTTTCGAAACTTATAACTTGTGTACACTCAGTGTAATAATTAGTTGCATTTTTTTTTAATTTCGACTAAATCGGAGAAAAAAACTATCCACATTCTTAATTGTAAAAATTAACGTTTTTTACGTCGTTTCTCATAAAAAAGCTTCTGTTTGTTGCAAACCTAGCTCATTTATAAAACCCTTCGTCATTAAATTCAACCGTAACCTTTTTTTCAGGCCAACGCTTTGATGCTAAAAATGGGAGATCAGCAAGAAAAAAATCTATCCTAAGTAAAAAAAGGATTTCAAAATATAAGGTTTTTTGTACTCTACTTGATTTATTTTATTTTACCGTAAATTCCAATCACAATTCACCGTAAACAAAACAAAGACTTGCTCATATTGTGTTCGAGATGTACATGGTACCCCAATGTACCTACAGTGTATTTACACCCTGTTTATTGCTTGTCGCGTATACGCTCACGACGTGAATCTAAAGAGTCCCCGGGATGAAAGAAGTCTCCCCTCGTCTCGGAAATAGTAACGACAGCTGTCCCGCTGGAACATCCGATAAAAGTTAAAGTTCCATCTACGAACTTCCGTCTTTCCAGAGATTAACGCTATAATATTTTACTTTTTCGCACTAAATATAAAAAAAATATATATTGATACGTGACTGCACAGATGAAACAAAAAAAAAGTTAATAAAAAGTATGAAGATACTTTTTGTGAACATCTATACAAATAAATAAAATTGAAGTGTCTGTTTGTAATGTCAAAATAACAGCTTTTTACTAAATGCATATAAGTGTATAAACGGTACTTATAACAAAAACACAATTTTTAAAATTTTTGTCTGTCTGTCTGTTTGTTCCGGCTAATCTCCGAAATGGCTGGACCGATTTCGACGGGACTTTAACTGGAAGATAGCTGATGTTATAAGAACTTAGGCTACTTATTTTTTAGAAAAAGAATTTATTAAACATAATTAAAGCCGTAAATTACACGCGGGCGAAGTCGCGGGGTACAGCTAGTTGTATAATAAAATGTAAACAATAAATAGTAAAGTGAACGCGCGGCTTTACAGAACGTGACGTTTCGTTTCATATTTTAAAATAATATTATTAAAGATTGGTCTCTGAATTGTTGATTGAGCTCTAAAGATCCTAGAGAGAATACTAGTTAATAGTCATGAAGTTATTGTATTGTCCTGAGTAAATAATACGGATGCGAAATTTCATATTATTTAGATGTACATAGTACGGAAAACCAAAAACATCCATTAAATTCATACATGGTATAGATACAGGTCAAGCTAATAATAATAGCACATGTTAAAAAGCAATGAATGTAAGTTTTTGATTTTAAATGTACCCCGGAGTACCTCGGAGTACCCCGGGCTCCATCTTTCGAAAACCGTAATTTAATTTTTTTTCTCATTAATATTGTCGATCTATTAATGTCCTGTTTGTGAATTACATATATTCGTATTTATTGCACTTTTTGTGAAAAAATACATCCACATTCTTAATTGTAAAAATTAACGTTTTTTTACGTCGTTTCTCATAAAAAAGCTTCTGTTTGTTGCAAACCTAGCTCAGTTATAAAACCCTTCGTCATTAAATTCAACCGTAACCTTTTTTCAGGCCAACGCTTATAAAGTTGTAAATTGCTGAATGTAAGTTTTTAGATCCATGCATTCTGTTAATCGATTCAATTTTATAAATTGCTTGTCGAATAATAGAAATTGTGTAGAAGTTGTGTAGAGTTTTTAACTCTACACAACTTCTATTATAAAATAATTTACAAAATTATTATAATATATAAACACATATATTACATAATATATAAACACATATATATAAACACATTTATTATAAAATAATTTTAAAATTATGCAGAAAACTATGATTTTTAGAAATCCTTTCTACACTCACACAACTAAAGAACAACAACCATTTTTATAGTATCTCTTCGAATTCCAATCACACTGTAACAACTGTAACTTACAAAGAGCGGCCGCAAGAGCTAGAAATCCAAGTTAAATACTTTTTCTCCTGATCCTATTTCTTGTTGTAACGCAGTTGAGCACTTCTGCAGTAAAACTTTGTTATACGTTCTAAAATAAAATACAAAACACAACGACCTGAACTTGACAGCGACAGACGATCCTACTTCGGGAAGGAAAGACTTATTTTTCTATTACACTCTGCAACGAAATGGAGTCGTCACTCTATTTACATGTGCTTTAGATTATAAGAGCACAACACAACACAACTTATGCACAACACTATGAATCTACTATGAATCGTGAATTTTAAACGTGTAAAATATTTAATACGCCCAACATTTTTATACTTTATACACGCAACAGTATTAAAACGTGCTCCGATTTAAAAATCGTCTTTCAAACTTACGGCTAGTGGTTGCCAACTGGTGCCAAAATTTGTCACATGGACAAGCAACATACAGAGTTGTGCAACGAAGTCGCTATAGAGTTTATAATTATCGTCCCGTATCTAATTCTTTTCTCATTCTTCAGAATCTCTTCATTAATAATAAGAACATTACAAAAATTTTATATAAAAGAAAAAACAATTGATAATACAAAACGAGTGTATAAAACAATTTGTTTTTGATATTTTTATTTATCGAAATTATTTTAAACTAGCTTTCCCTCGCGATTTCGCCAGCGTGTTATTTGAGGTTTTAATTTTTTTTGCGCGGAACCCTAGTTCTTTTTCTAAAATAAAAATAGCCTAAGTTACTCCTTATGACATCAGCTATCTGCCAGTAAAAGTCGCGTCGAAATAGGTCCAGCCGTTTCGGAGATTAGCCGGAACAAACAGACAGACAGACAGACAAAAATTTTAAAAACTGTATTTTAATTATAAGTACTTTATAAACTTTCATATGCATTTAGTAAAATGTTGTAATTTTGACATTACAAACAGACACTTCAATTTTATTTATTTGTATTGATAACGACTTTCGATTTTAAGAACACAGTATTTATGGTGGAATAAGAAGGTGAATTTAGCCGTGTAGTGGCGGTTAAGAATATGCACTACAGCATATCTTCCCGTGGGTTTCGTAAAAGGCGACAAAGGGAAACAGGCAGGAGATGGGCAGCAGCATCTTCCTGATAACAGAAAAATTACAATAAAAAAACTGCGGTTGCCAACCCGCTTGCCAAGCGTGGCAACTATGGCAAATACCCCCCAATAATGAAAACAAGAAAGAGACGGCCCCCGGCGGCCCCGCTATTCCTGGCTACGGTGGCGACCATGGTAACGGTGGAGCAGGGGGTGCTAAGAATCTCCGGTGGAGGTTCGGTTGCCACCTTAGACGACTCGACCTGGCAAGATACAACGCACGCACCCTGAGGACTGACGAGAAGATCGTGGAGCTGGAAGAAGAGATAGACAAGTTACGCTGGCATATTATAGGATTATCCGAGGTCCGAAGAGAGGGGGAGGACACGGTAATCCTCGAATCCGGCAACTTGTTCTATCACCGGAAGGGTGACCATCTGTCCCAAGGAGGTGTCGGATTTATCGTCCACAAGTCTCTCGTTAACAACGTTGTAAAGATTCAGTGTGTCGACGAGGGTTGCGTACCTTATACTCAGAATCACCAAAAGGTATTGCTGAAGGTCATACAGATTTACGCACCAACCTCGGCACATCCCGATGAGGAGGTGGAGGAAATGTATGAGGATATCTCTAGAGCCATGCATTCCTCCAAAACCCAATATACGGTGTTAATGGGAGACTCATATGCAAAACTAGGCACAAGAGAGAACGGTGAGC